TCCCTTTTTTACAGTAATATCGGCTGGGTTTCTATCCGTGCTATCAGATGGTTTTATAGCCTTTTCTGTTTTCAACTTCTGCCTGAGGAGGGCGCCTCTCGTTTTCACATTATTAACAGGCATTTCTAGTGGGAACTCGAGTTAATTAAGTAGTAGATATTTGGACAAGCTCAACCAGCGGGACGACATTAGTAACTTAATCGGAGTTATACTAAAAGCTGTACACGTAGTGCGAATCATGCGGCACACTAACTTTAAGCATTACAGCAAACCAATACTTCTGCTGGTTGTGGAGAAATCCATTACCGAAGTAGAATCAGTTCTACTACTGACAAGTAAACTTAAAACTGAACCTCCGTGTCTTTCCAGACATCCCGAATCAATCGGATCTTAGTTGCCTACCGGAATGAAAATTATAAGAACCATTCTTGTTCACTATGTTCCTGAAACTGAAGCATGCGAGGAGCATGGTATAACAACCCATGATAAAGAACAATTGCGTTATATTCGTGAAACGCTGTCCTTGGATGACATGTTAGCGAAATCAATGTCACGGCTGCGTACCTCACTATACTTCGGTGGACGTGGCCCGAGAGTTTTGAAGGTGGTTCAACAGTCAAAACACACGTTAACACATTTGCTGAATAGCTGGTGCATGTTTCGTTGCACGTTGCCATCTGCGCTTTCCCTGAAGGCAGCGTGCGATTTGTCCCTTACTGATGAGATGTCATATAAGGCAGCAAACGCGATAGGAACTGTAAAAGAAAAATGCACTAATATTGTGTCCAATGAGCCCGTATAACTTTTTGAAAAAATATCGTGATCAGACACCTTACTTTGTATGTAGAGGCTTAGACACAAGACTAACAACGCAGACCATGAATAAGACGTCGTAACATACGCCAAATCTCCACGGAGAAAAACCATCAGTCCCCGTTCATTTGCTGGTCGGCTAAACTTCACGTATGAACTGCACAATCTCCAACACATTGCTTACGTCTGAGAAACCTTTGTGCATGTGCACTAAGACCCAAGGGCTCCTCAGTAAATTCACCAAACTTGGGCTATATCAGGCCTCGAATCCCTGGGATCTAATTCGTATTACCGAAACTTGGTTGCACTGAGAGCTGACTGAGGCTGAGTTTGAGATGGCAGGAATATCACTCGTCCGAAAAGCCCTCCACAGGAGAGAACGTAGCGCCCTTCCCTACTACTGCAGCGACCTGCAATGTACAATAGTAGACAATCTGGAAAGTTATTTCAGACTCAATTATGGCGCGTTCTCCAATTAAAACATAACGAAGCATATCTCGTGGCTGTCCTTTACCGTCCCTCATTGTCAACTGCGAAAAAGGATTTCTGCTTGTTACGTGACATGAACTGGGTAACACGCACTAGGTACAGCCACGTTCTAACCTCCGAGGTCTTCAAAGTACACCATCTATTGATTCGGCATCTCGCAAAGAACAGTTCAAAGCAGAGTTGCATTAACTTATCGCTAATATTCCTTTGTACAACCATATCACCTCGCCCACTAAATTCAGTACAGCGGATAAACCGTCCATATTGAAACTTCTGTTTACTACTGATCTTGATTGTCAAGTTATTGATGGTGAGTCAATTAGGACCCGGCGTCAATGCAGTAAAAAGGTTTAACTATGCTTGCTATGCAGATTGTTCAGTAGAACACCCGGAACTAACTAATACTATCACACTCCACTACGTCTTGATGGGACTCGTCAAGGCATTTGCTAGGGAATTCTCGAACAACAGTCCCCTTGACAACGTTTGGGCAGCTTTCGTTAAAAGAGCAAGTGACATAGTCAACAGAGCATCAGAGATCAGGCCCCTTCTTTCCACAAATGTGTTAGTAATTCTAAGGAGCAAGACCCGGAAATTCACGGCGAAAAGTAATGCAGCATGGTGTGACGACAAAAGTAACCCAGTTTCAGATATGGGGCAATTGCCTGACCAAGCAAAATCACTGCACTACACTTGTCGGTGGGGGAAGTGTAATTTATTGATAGTGCTTATACAAAATGTTTCCGAAAAACAACAAACTCTCTTCGTAAGGTAAAGCATGACATTCCACCAATTTTCACAACAGGCGGAAGCGTACAATGCGCCGAAGTGGAAGCCAATGATCTGGGGCTAAAATACGCCTCGATTTTCAAAATCGCAGCATCCATTTCACAAATAACACCAAACACACTACCGACTCCATGGTTTGGTATATAATTTTCAACTCAGAAATTGTGATAAGGAAGATACTCTCACTAGGCGATCGTTGTTATTCGGGAGTCGACAATATGAGTCCGAAAACACTGAAGGCTGCGGCCAACAGGCTAGCTTAGCGCTGTCACAGATTTCCAAATAAGCTTTGATGAACAGCACATCCAAACTATATGGAGCGTGGCATTATAAGCCCAATTTTTAGAGGCGCAGCGGCTCAGAGACTGAAAACCATCACACAGTGACTCTCCTACCTGTGCTCACGAAGGTTGTGGAATCGGTCCTCACTGATCGACTACTTGGAAAAATGCAACATCATTGCACCGAAACAGCAAGGCTTCCATCAACACCGACCATGCCATACCAACATGCTGATGGCACGGGGTAGTTGGTCGGAAGTGGCTGATGGAGTTGACCTCATCTATATGGACTTCTCCAAAGCTTTCGACCGGCTGGATCTCGCATCCTATTTCACATGCTACATAGTTACGGAAATCTTCTTGTAGTGCTTTGTAGTTCTTGGTAGCAACTTTCTTCAAGAACAGAGGCATCAAGTGCAAGTTAGGGGAACACGCTTTAACTCGATTAAGGTTACTTTTGGGGCCCACCTTGCCCGGTGCGTGGACTGCGACCGCTCTTTGTGTTTGTCAACGAGCTGACAAGAGTGATCTCCTCAAATTACCTGCTTTTGCCGATGAATGATGGCGGGCGATTAATTCAAGGAATAAAACGTTCTACTCCAACATAACATAGATTTCATGTATGACTAGTTAATGAGGAACCTAATCCAGTTGAACACAGCTAAGTGCATGGTGACCCACTTGCGTCACTAGCCAGTGAGTGTGTACATGCTTGAAGACTACACCTTGCAGAAGGCGTCTTAAGATCGTGACCTGGGTGTAATAGCACAGGAAGGTATCGCAAGCACAAAAGAACCAGAGAAGACGTCGAGGACTAGCAATCAACAGTTGGACTTGTTCCCATAACGTTTGGTCGGTTTCACCCCCCTATCGTTTCATAACTGATTAACACCCACGTGCGATCGCACGTGGGATACTCCATCCAAGCGTGGCATCCGTGGCAGCAACATGATCTAGTTGCTCTTGAGACTCCTCAAAGAACGGCAACTAAGAACGTCAGGGACCTCTTGCACCTGCTCTATCACCTTAGACCGAATTCTCTGAGAATATACAGCACTCGATATCGGTGTTTTCAGGGAATCTCATAATGGTTTACCAGATACTGAGAAACCCAAACCAAACGTGCCGTTCGCCGTTGGAACTGAACTACAAAGCTAACCTAACAGGCCAACTTCTGTCACTGAAAATGAAGTATAGCAACTTGGTATGCCATAGAGATATCTTTACACCCCTAGCGTGTCAGCTGTGAAACGCGCTCCCAATTTAAGTTGTTTCTGCCCCTAATATAGCTTTTTAAAATATCTTGATGCGTTGTTTCATTTACATTTCATTTTGTAACGACAGCCAGAAGACTACAAGACGCAATCAAACAGTATGTTTATCAACTGCCAAATAATGCATTTATGGATTTATACTTTTAATACGCGAACTTCTTCGCTCTTCTACATAAGCCTGTGATGAGTCCACAAAAGCGCCTTTCCCCTTAACATGATTTCTCGATAATTTCCATCCCATGGGACGTGTGAAGCATTACTTTTACCGGTAACACATCATTGTTCTATTGTTCTGCTAAGCACATCACCTGTTCGAATTTGCTCTAGATTGATGGACTCTCAAAACAATACAGCTTATAATATTACGCATAGTATATCGTAATACAAATAAGAATTGTCTGAAAAAATTAATGGCTCTCCAGTTAAAGAACATCCTGTGTACTAATTTAAAGAGCACGTGATGAAGATCATTCTGTCTATCAGTGATCCTGCTATTTATATGCAATATATATATATATAATAACACTCATTTGCTGCTTATTTTGAGATCGTTCAATTGTTGGCTAAGCTGGCAAAAGTGGAGGTTTATTTTAATGTTTAATTGTATAAAAGTAATCGATGGGAGGTACCTGTCGCTTCGTAATGTAGCAGCTATCCATGCTCATTGTGTTTACCAACACTTTAGTTTAGTCAAAATTATAATAAACGGTGGTATACACTGTAGCTCATTATGACAAGTGGTTCTAATATCCGCCCGTCAAATAAACCATACGTTGTTTTTCTAGTAATGAGTACGGTGCTCAACTTAAAGCCACAATTGTTACCTAACACAAGTTCAGGACTCGAGCCGCACCAATCACTCCCTCACAAAATGAAAATATTGTCCTAGTAAACAAGAGGAACGAATATTTCACATTAGGCAATAATCTAGCACCTCGGAAAATATACGCATTTGCTTATTTGTATTATAACACTGGTGAATATAAAGGATAGACAAAACGGCTTCAGTCGGCTGGCACCGTTCTGACCACATAATTCATGGCCCGCTGTCTGACCGCTTTGAGTAACTAATGGGTGCATTAAATTGTGGAATAGGTAGTATTGTCAAGGCAGTTTACGATTTATGACTTAAAATATTCCATCAATCCTAACGCAAGGTTTATCCATGATGTGATTCACACGTAGTGACACCATGCTTTATTTTCCGTGACATGAATTAACCAGAAAGTCAACTTCAAAGGACGTAAGATGGTAACACATTTGTAATGCCGTTCGCTTAACTAAGGAACGGCGTTTACATGATGTTCCATAAAAATCTTAATGTGGCACGAAAAATCGGCTTAGTTTGACCTACCCCAAGGCTGTACACTCGAGTACCGCATGTGTGTTGCTGTCCCCATACTTTTAGGTGCGCGCAAAAGTGACGCAGTCCAAGGGCACTTTCATGTAGGAAAAGCTCAGGAAGTCGAGCGACCAAAAACTGCCTGCCCAGTTTTTGAGCTGTGCTTTCAAGCAGGATGCAAGCACTAGATTCACTCGCCAACGATTTTTGAGATAGAAGGCTCCCAGAATTTGACTCCAATTCGGAGAAGGAGAATGCATATGCTTGATGTTCACTTGGATTATAGGCGTATTGTTTAACGTCTTGAAACTTTGAATTCGCTGTGTGGATGTTACCTAATTTTGCCACAGCATTCCCTTGAAGGAGATTCTCCTGGAGCTGGTGGTATGGCACTTCGGAATGTGGACGGTAGCATACCGAAAGATATCCGTTTGAACAATTCACTAAAACTGTTTGCGCATTATAAACAATTAAAAATATATATCGACCCAAATCAAAATAATGTAAACTTGATCTAATAGACTTAGTTTCTTATGCTGTCTGGTGAAACGGTTTAGCGTGTAAAATAACATCATTTCCTTTGTTTCGTATATTGAGTGGGTGACAGATATAAAGCATTGCTGCTAATCCAAAATGGCTTTAAATTTAAGTGATGATATACAAGTCAGAATTAATTTCATTGTGAGGTTATGGTTTCCGTAAAGATTTCTAAAACGAGCTATCCATGTATGCTACGCGTGAAATAAGTGCTTCTCTGTGTTAGCCTACCTACCTTCCAAATCGATACTCGGAAAGTGTAGTCGCTAAACGAATATGAACATTTGTCATAAAATAGAAACGTTTGCTAGGATTATTTTTCTAGTTACCCTCCGATTCGTACATGTTAAAAATTACCAACTTAACCCAATACTTTGTTACAAGCTAAGCGCGGTTTGCTCTAATCAAGCAGTAAGTGCCCAACTTTTGTGGTATGATAGCTGCTAGGTTAATAATACTATCGCAAAAGATTCTCATGTTTACATTACTAGCATTGTAAAAGTATATCAGGCGTACGCTTGCTTTGTCTAGGTTCAGTGTAACTGTCGAATCCGTTTACCTTAGTTAAGAAGGCCACAATTAGTTAGCAAAGAGGAAAATGGAAAATGCCCAAGTAAGATAAGTTGTGACAACTCAGCAAAATGATGTGACAATACACTCTCATAACACCTTTAGAGAATTAATGGTTTCATATGGTATAGTTTTGTAATTCATCTGCATTATTTATGTAAATATTTTTAGTGGCCAACTTTTTTCATAGTTGCATGCGAATATCTTGCAAGCGGTCAATTTTCGTTACAGAAAGCAGGGATAAATCATGTGCGGAAGCTGCGCTAAACAGAAATAGCCCTGAGTTAATCATGGGGGTTATAACAACAATGTTATTGCATGGCAACATTTAATTTGTTATTCGGAAATTCCATCAACCATCATGCAACTGTACTACTGTAAGCTTAACCGGTTCGGTAATCAAGGCCTTTCTGGGCGGCAAAATTTGAAGCGATGGGCGGAACTAACTGCATTAGTAAAGAGTGATTGTATCAGTCATACGACTTGCGGTGGGGTCACAGGCGCAAGCCAAAGCGCAACGTTCAAACCAGAGAATGGAGGAGAAAACGCCGAAGTGGTTTGATTGAACTGATGACTAAGAAAAAACGCATTCCAAAATCTCATCGGGCTGGAAGGCTAGGGGGTGCAAACAACGGGCCCAGCGTTACAGTGTTCTCCCTTCTAACCGGCGCTATTCTCAGCTTCTGAGGCTCCCGTTGCTGGATTCAGCCTGTTGAAGTGTACAAGCGTCGAGGAATTAGGCGTGCCAAGCTTCGTGATACTATATTTCATACCCTATAGTGCTTCCATCCCGACGATCGGTCCTTCCCAGTTTCGATGGATTTTCACCGGGACGCGCGGTATTGTCACCGTTGCTTTAAGCCTGGCCGTATCAGTACGTTTAAACCGACTTCCGAAAGACTCGGTCAAATTATGCTTTCTGGTGTTGCTGTGAGGTTTTCAGATGAGCTTGTAACAACTGGTGCGTGCGTGACAGACCCGAATGTAACTGTGTTATACGCTTCGATGCAGTTAGAGTATCATGGTAGGCTGTTGGCAGCAGAATATCCTACAGTAGGCGCAGCTTATGATCAGCCAACATAATATGTGATGCTTGAAGGTCCTACGAGTGGACAAATGCTCGGTAAGCAAGCAAGCATTTCAGGTAGGAACGTGTCCAATTGATCAGGCGTCTCGCAATTCAAAGACGACTGAAATATCCTCTTCTGTGCACGGTTGCCACGATTGACTAACCTCTTTCTTTTCATGTCCTTTTAACGCTCCGAAAATCTGACCTAGCATGTTCAAGAGGGTGCCTCCGAAGGTGGCTATACAGTCTGTGTGTAAGTGACATGGTGATCCCGAACTTTCTGCCCGATTGCTGAAGAAAGCTAGTGCTGCACTCTATGAGTACGCATTTTGATGGGTACTGCTTTACAGCATTTGATAAAGTGGTCTAAAATCACGAGGTCACAACGGCGTCTAGCACTCAAAGGTTTTGAGACAACGATACCGATAACTACTACTTCTTTCGGAAATCCAGTTGTTATTGTATGCAGTGGACTGCGACGAGTATATGTAGAGGACTTGATCTTTACGCACTCGGTGCACGACGGACAATATATATGGATGTCACGTAGTAGCTGGAGCCACCAAAACCGATGTCGAATTACAGCAGCAATTTTATTTTCTCTATGTCTTAACTCTTTATATATCCTTCACATGACATTCTAAGTTGCGGACGGGACCACTGTAAATCTTCGCAAATAAGCAGGTCTTTTTTGAAAATATATAACACCGTAGATTACGGGTAAATGCAACCATAGTAATCACAGGCATTTATTTTCCCAACTGGCGCCTGCTAGCGCTTGTGGCATTGGTGGAGCTCACTTCCGGACAATACGATGATAGGATTGGCTCGGCTTCGAGTCTGTGAATGGAATAATGGAATGGGTAAAATAGCCAATGCTTAACAAGTCCAGTAGGAAGGTTATGGCATAACTACAAAATATAAAAAATATTGTCAAGAACTCACGGAATTTTGCGTAGTGCAGATTGTAAACCCAAAATAAATCCAGAACAAATGACGGCAAATGGGATGTTAGTAAAAATCATGTCTTCATCAGGTGTACACATAGATGAGGTAAGGAACGTGGAATGAAGTCTGTGCTGTGACCGCCAGTGAAATTGCTTACAGACACTTATGTTTCCCATGGGTAATGGTTCATGTAAGATGGTGCAGGGAAATAAGTGCACGGTCACCTCGGGCTTTGAACTCCGCCAGCTTGGGATCACATATGACAGAATCCGGTAGGGCATTCCACATACGGCAAAGGCATACGGAGAAGAAATTACCAAGGCATTCCAAGCGACTGTGTTGCTCTGCCAGCTTTAGATGGTGGCCTCTTAAATTGCTGTTGTGAGTGAGCTCTAATAAGAAATGCACGTGTGATTGGGATCTCTCAAAATTTGGTATGTCAGAATGGAGACCAAGCGCAATCGCCGATACCGTCCGCTGAAGACCACCCTGAACACTTGTAGCCTCCGTTCATACGGTAAATGATACCGACCCTTGACATGCCTGGTTGCCCGGCTTTGGGGTGTCTTCAAGGCGTTGAGAACTCTCCTTAGCCGTGGCTGCCAGACCTGTAGTAAGTATTCTAAATGTGGCCTTATGTATGAACCCAGTAGTGGTGGAAAATTCTAAGGAACTAACTGGGCAAATGCAAGCTTCAGTAGGCTCACATGTTGTACGCCTCTCCTAGACGCCGTTTTAGCCTGCCTCGAACATCCTAGATCGACCTGGACAAAAGCTCACAGATCCTTTTCGCCGGAAGACGTTTGTAGTTCCTGACTGCCGAGTTAGTAGGAGTGCATCAACTTGTGCTTTAGGTGCAGCACTCTACATTTATCCACATTGAATCTTATTAGATTCTGGATTGACCACGCGCATTCCCTATCCAGATCAACTTGAAGTATTGCGATATCGTATGATGTTTTGATCGCCCTCCCCATCTTGATGTTATGAAAGTAAAGAAGGCAGTTAGAGATTAGGATGCTTGTGATATCCAGATAAAGTTGATGTGGAAAATGTAATCAGGACTAAGGCAATCTGATTGATTGCCTCACTTGGTTCTGGGCACAGAGCAGGGACAATTAAACCTTATCAGTAGCGCCTCGCTAATTGTCAACAACGCTGGATTCCTGTTGCGCAAGAGCAACTTGAATGAACCGAATGGATTCATCTGGTGATGAGTCTTCATTAGGTGTTTGGTAATAGGTGAGGCAGGGGTCCGGTTCATTCTTTGCTCCGCTCCGCCTTGGTGCGACAGCAAATGCCTTAGCCACAAACGGAAATGTTCCGCCACCCTTTGAGCCAGCCGGCGACCAGTCTTGCCTCTGTAAGTGTCACCGCAACTGAAAGTGATATGGCAGATTATGTTAGAGGCCGAACTGACTGGCGAGCTACTCGGAACGCTGTGGAGAGAAATCCTCCGTGTAGTGTGGATAAGTCGTAGTTGAACGGTAGAGTAGGTGCGCATTAGAGCGGACCTGAGCTTGTGACCAACTTCATTTGATATATGATCCCCCTTAAACGGTAAGAACAAATAAACACCCTTCTTCTCCATTGTTTGTATTGGCAGCTTCTCCTTGGGGGTCGGCTATGGGTCAGAATGAATTTTTCCGGATATCCATTGGATAGCAGAGTCCGGTATAAAAACTCTTCTTCAACCTTGAGCAATTCCGGACTGCAAATCCGCCTAGTCCTGTAGAAGAGAGTTTTACGAGGCCCTGCTTGTTAACATATCGCAACCTATGTTACCTTACGTCGTTAACGAAGTGGTTGAAGTCGACTCAATGTTTCAAGCTTATGATATCGTTAATACACCTCAAAACTAATCACGGTTCTAGTACGGATACCTGTGGTACTCCGCATTCAACTTGAATGGGATCTGACAGCGAAGCAAGTAAACGTAATTTCAGGCGCCCGTGCAGAAGAATGCTTCTGATTTATTCTAGGAGAGGATCACCAATACCAAAGATCTGGGTTTCGAAGAGCAGGTGGGTATGGTCTAACCGGTCGAACACCTCTTAGTCAAGGATGACTACAACAACTCCTGTGCCAGCGTCTATTACTTAAATCCAGCTGGCGCGTGCTAGTGGTAGATTTGTAGTGCACGATCCATTTCGTCGGAAGCCACGTTGTTCCGGTGCGAGGTAGTTAAATTCTTCCTAGTAGGTCTTTAGCGCGTCAAAAATAATACCTACCATGAACTTTAAAAATAATTGGAATTCAGATTATGGGTCAGTAGTTTGCTGGGTTGGGACAACTACGTCACTTGTGAATAGGAGTAGTCATCTC